CAGTTAATCAGAGTTGAATATATAGTTTATTTCTTCATTCAGTAAATATTTACTGAGCCTACCATGTGCCTAGCTCTCTATTTTATCATCAAAGTTACTTAGGTGAGCTGCTCAGAAAAAATTCCCCCTCTCACAGGACTTAGACTTTATTGGAAGAATTCACATGATAAACAGAGAAAACTCCAAGGTCATTTTGGATAATGAGAAGTACTATATAGAAGATAAAAGTGGGTGATAGAATAGAAAGTAACTAGTAGTGAGAAAGGAAGTTACAGTTACATTGAAAGCCGAGGAAGGCACTGTGGTCTGACTATAGAAATGTCAATCTAGGCTCTATGCTTTAAAGGTCCTGCATATCATCATCATCATCATCACACACACACACACACACACACACACACACACACACACGTTACAAAACACACAGGTGCATTTGTCATTTCCAGCCCATCATTGGCACACTGTTGGCTTTAACCTTAAACACCTATCCTCACGACTAATGGCATTCAGATCCCAGGGAAATTCTTCACCTCTCCTTGCCTTGTGTCCTAAAAAGTGACAGCAAAAGCGTAGCATTGTCTACTGTTGATTTTAAAAGTAAAAACTATTGCATCCATGGAGTGTTTCAGTAGCTTACTTGCTTAGGTAAAAAAGAAAAAAAAAAAAAGGACAAACTCTTCTCAGTTAAAACAACTGCATACATTCTTACACAGAATTATTTCCCAGTGCTGCAATAAATCCATTTTCTTGTTATTTGTCTTGCAATTTTTGTTTCTGGAGATATTTGCAAGTCAAGATGGTGTTTACAATATATAACATATATATGTATATTATGTATGTTATCTATGTATGTGTGTATATATATATACACACACACGCGCACACACACACATACATACATATGTGTTTTTATCTGTAGCTAGCTGTACCTATATACTGTATGGTAGGTCTAGATATAATATACATGAAGTCTTTACCAATTTCTCACTTTAAGATCTAGATAATCTTTGAACTCTAGCATTAAAAAACTGGCATTTTGTTATCAATATTTATTTAAATATATAATTTTGATATTTATTTAATATGCAAATTTAAATATATTTGGTATATAAAATTATGTTTAAATATTATATACATTCTATTTTAAATTGCTAGTCATTAGTTATTATTTACCTTTTATTTTTTATAATTTTAATAGGTAATTTTAAATCGTTAAAAATTTTTAAATAACTTTTTGAAAAATAATGCTTTTATTTTATATTTAAATTTATAATTTCTGACAAAAATATATGCAAATATCATATATTTCAAATACTTTCAAATGCTGTATACTTTCAACTTATTAAATTTTATTTTTGATTCTTGTGATCATTAATTGTGAATACATTTCAAATTGTACAAACATTGATTACAATAATACAATAAATGATATTGCTATAGCAAAAAAAAGAAAATTAAATTCATGAAGCTATTATATAATAGTTATAAACTACATATATCTTTATTCTATTACTCATCTAAACATCACCAGTCCTTCACCCAGAACACTGAGACACGTGCAATAATAATTACATTAGATTCAGCTATCTGCTAATTTGTCCACCTGCAATCACATAAACCCTGCAATTTAATTTCTTTGTTATAAGGATGTATTTGGAGGATACAACGTGATATAACATTTTCTTGTTAGCTTGTCAGCTGGTCATTTAGACATGAGGTTTGTGGGTTTCCATTCATTCCCTTACCCTAAACCCAACAAATGCTGTGGGTGTGTCTGCCTGAAAGACAATACGTCAGCCATGTGTGGGTCTGAGTGCAACGAGGGGAAGAGGCTTGATATGCTAGAGGAACAGTAAGAAGGGTAGTGTGACTGCAGCCCGGATAGCTGGGGAGAACACAGACCCCAAATGCAAAGCTATTGCAGTAATCCAGATATGCTGTGATTGACACGACATTGGTAAGAGTGCAAGTGGAAGAAGCTGGAATTAGTATTTACTTTGGAAGTACCGTTGACAGGATTGCTGAAAGATTCCACATGGGATCTAAAGAAAGAATCAGGGTGACTTTTGAACAAACGGGAGATCAACTAGAGTGATGCGTTCATTTACCAATACACACCCAATAATTACTCTGAAGATTGTATTACTATAAATATGTGTAAAGGTGGATGACCAGCAAAGTGAAAGTGATAACAATAACAATAATAAAAGTTTGTTTTCTCTGGTTCTCAAAATTCAGATGTTTATTATGTAACATTTGAAATTAAGCTTTGCTTTGATGGTAAAAAATAATAATAAAAATAAAACAAAACAGAAGAAAATACTGCATTACTTGAAATTATAATAAAAACACACACAATGATGCCTAATATCTGAATATACCTTTGTACTTATAAAGGATTCACTCAATTGTCTCATTTGATACCCATCACAATCCTGTAAGGTTAGTCACTTTCCAAATTTTACAGACAAAATTATTAAAAAGTAATACTGCTTAAGTTCTCTATTCAAGATCCCAACACTAGAAACTAAGAATGGAGACATAGGAAAAAACAAAACAAAACAAAACATAGATAAGAATTCTGTCTCAGAATTTCCTAGTCATGACATCTTTAGCAAGTTATTAAACTTGAGTCGAGTACTTCTGGCTTTAATTACTTTTTCTACCATAACCTTCATTCTAATGTATGAAAAGTTGACTAAATGTCTATGGTCTGAGTGCTTTAATCTTGGATCCAAAAGGCAACAACAAATAACCATCTATAGAAATCATAGAAATTGGCTTCCTTTCTTACCTGTAGTAAGGAAGTTTCAGCATTCACCCTGACTTTAGCCACCTAAACATTCTATCACTCATTCTTCACGTTATCTGCAAAACCAGATTATAGGTTCCTATAAGTAGCCTTAAAAACATTGTTCTTATTAAATAGTTGTAAAATCCCATGAGATCAGAAACGCCATCTTGAATTTAAAAAAATTAAAATAGACCCTGGCCGGTTTGGCTCAACAGTTAGAGCGTCGGCCTGCAGTCCCTAGAGACCCGGGTTCAGTTCCTGCTAAGGGCATGTACCTCGGTTGCAGTTTGTCCCCAGCCCTGGTTGGGTCATGCAGGTGGCAGCCACTCGATGTGTCCCTTTTACGTCAATGTTTCCCTCTCTTTCTTTCTCTTCCTCTCTCTCCCTCCCACTCTATCTGAACAAAAAAATGATAAAGTGTCCTCAGGTGAGGATGAAAATAAATAAATAAATAAATAAATAAATAAATAAATAAAATAATTGAAAATAGGCCAAATTAAATAAATAAAATAGCTCAAACTAAGGCAGGGGCCATTGAAAGAGAGAAAAGGACGTGAGCCCAAGTCTTTTTTGTCTCTAATGCTCTTTCAGTTAGTCTCTAGTGTCACTGCAGCTACATCCTCTTAATTCAGCAGTGTTACCCAGCTTAGGAAGTCTTCACTGCCAAAGCAATTTAGACCTCTTACACGCTCCTATTTTCTTAAAGATAATACATACCAAGAGATGCATTTAAATCATTCTTGAGAATGCCTTCTCTCTCAATGCGCATATTCATTTCCATCATCAAGTGGAAATGTTGATTTTACATCTTAAATACATCTGGAGATTCTCCACTTCTCTCCACCTGAAACACCATCGTTCAGAAACAAGCTACCATCTTTTCTCTTGGCAGCATATCACTTTCATTCACTCCTGTGCCTTTCTAGTCTGTTGTCCAAATTGCAGCTAGAGTGAGCTTCTCAAAATGCACATCTGAGTATGCTGAAAATATTTCCATGGTTTCCCATTGTTTGGGGGATAAAGGACACAATTCTTCAATTCTTAATATGGCCAACATAATCTGTGTATAACTGACTCTCTACCTGTTTCTCCAGCCTCATCTGTACCAGGTTCCTCTTTCTGTACTATAAATACTCTGAACTCTACAGTTCTCAAATATGTCAAACACCTTCCCATCAAACAACTTCACAATGCTGCCTGCACAACCTGAAATGCTCTTCACCTCATTTTTATCTAATAATTATTTCATTTCTAGGGTCTTAACACATTTATTACCTCTTCCGGAAAGTTTTGTGGATCTCCCTAAATAAGTCAAATCACCCAGTTAGAAATTGACACAGCATCCTGCGCCCATCCTTATTAAAGTTGTCATTTCATCTATATGCCTGCTAGTCTGAGTCATATCTATCTTAAAAGTAGATTGTAGACACAGTGAGGACAGAAAAAGTCTGATTTTGCTCTCCATTTTCAACACTTATCCCAGTGCCCGGAACACATGAGGCACTCAATAAATATTTCATAAAGGATACTACAAATTAGTTAACTGGTTAACAGTGAGTTTCTTGGCAAAACAGACAAGAATAGTCTTAGAAAATGCCTATTTCTAAAAGGAGCTTAAGAATTGCCTAGAAAAAAATATTATAAAATACCTTAATGTAATACTTAAATTATTTTCCCATGGTAAATCACAGTTAAGTCAGAATAATAGAACAAGAATTGGAAAGTATACAATATTTGTGTAAACATTTAGCATTAAAATATAATCTCATTTTTAAAAAAGATTTACAAGGTGTCAAAGTTATCTTCAAGAGTAAAATTCTTATTATTTTCTACAAATTATCATGGTGACTCAAGGGGCTTAGATGGAAATCAAACAAAATCATCTTTCTGTGACTCAATATTGGATGGATTATTGAAATCTGTGACCAAAATACATCTGTGGCTACACACACAAGCCCAGTCTTAGTCTTTTCCTTGAGGCAGCCAAGCACTGCTTATAAATCACTCAGAAGAAGCAATAATGGGGTATGTCTTTTCTGAGGACCCACTGTTCATAATGAATTTTCCTAGTTAGCTCTTAGAATATCTATGATGGCCTGGTGCGATCCCGTGCTGCGCGTCTGTGCTGCGGAACACAAGTCATTTATCTCTGCCCGCCTTCTCTCACCTAAGTGGCTGCTACCACCCCGTGGAACATTCAGTGGACATGGACGTGAGCCCTCTGAGGCCCCAGAACTATCTTTTCGGTTGTGAACTAAAGGCTGACAAAGATGATCACTTTAAGGTGGATAATGATGAAAACGAGCACCAATTATCTTTACGAACGGTCAGCTTAGGGGCTGGTGCAAAGGATGAACTGCACATTGTTGAAGCAGAGGCAATGAATTATGAAGGCAGTCCAATTAAAGTAACACTGGCAACTCTGAAAATGTCTGTACAGCCCACGGTTTCCCTTGGTGACTTTGAAATAACACCTCCTGTGGTCTTACGGTTGAAGTGTGGTTCAGGGCCTGTGCATGTTAGTGGACAGCACTTAGTGGCTGTGGAGGAAGATGCGGAGTCAGAAGATGAAGAGGAGGATGTGAAACTCTTAAGTATGTCGGGAAGTGGTAGCAAGTTTCCACAGAAAAAAGTAAAACTTGCTGCTGATGAAGATGAGGATGATGATGAGGATGATGACGACGATGATGATGATGATTTTGACGATGAGGAAGCTGAAGAAAAAGCTCCAGTAAAGAAATCTATACGAGATATTCCAGGCAAAAATGCACAAAAATCAAACCAGAATGGAAAAGACTCAAAACCATCAACACCAAGATCAAAAGGTCAAGAATCCTTCAAAAAACAGGACAAAATCTCCCCAAACACCGAAGGGACCTAGTTCTGTAGAAGACATTAAAGCAAAAATGCAAGCAAGTATAGAAAAGGGTGGTTCTCTTCCCAAAGTGGAAGCCAAGTTCATCAAATATGTGAAGAATTGCTTCGGGATGACTGACCTGGAGGCTATTCAAGATCTCTGGCAGTGGAGGAAGTCTCTTTAAGAAAATAGTTTAAACAGTTTGTTAAAATTTTCCGTCTTATTTCATTTCTGTAACAGTTGATCTCTGGCCGTCCTTTTTATAATGCAGAGTGAGAACTTTCCCTACCGTGTCTGATAAATGTTGTCCAGGTTCCATGGCCAAGAATGTGTTGTCCGAAATGCCTGTTCAGTTTTTAAAGATGGAACTCCACCCTTTGCTTGGTTTTAAGTATGTATAGAATGTTATGATAGGACATAGTAGTAGTAGTGGTCAGACAAATGGGAATGGCGGGGGGACAAAAATATACATGTGAAATAAACTCAGTATTTTAATAAAGTAAAAAATAAATAAATAAAATATCCATGATGCAATTTTCTGTATTTTTTTATTTTAAAGATGAGGTAACTGTCATTTTCGTTATTCTGAAGTAGACACACAGACCAAATGGGGTAAAGCAACATTTTCCCGAAATATCTCCTACAGAACGTAAGTATCAGAAAAGAGGTTAACTGGTGTTTTTAATAAAAAACAAGCAAACAAAATTTAGTTTGGATCTTTGATAAAATAGGTCCTTTCAAAAAGCCCCTTTTTATCAAGGGACTTATCAGAGATTAATTTAATTTGCGATCCTCCAAAGAGAGTTAACTAGCACATAGAATTTTCTGTACTTATTTGGCCTCTTAAAATATTATTTCTAGGAGTATTTCAAGAAACTCTTATGGTTTGTGGAGCACTGTTGGGGAAATTGTGATATTGTAATGTATATGGTTTTAGACCCTAAACAAAGCATCAGTATTCTCTTTCACCTCCTGTGTCCTCCCCTTTGAGCATGTTCAGAAAAGGTGTTGGGGGAGAGGAGAGTGTTTAAAGCCTAAATTATTAGATTGACTCTGGATACACTGAGTTGCATAATTTCCTAAATTAATTTCTAAATTCTTATGGCTGTCTGAAGCTCAGATAGTTTAAAAGGCTTTCAGCTTATTGGCTAGTTAACAATGGGCATACAATTTCAGTTAGGCAAGATGAATATGTTTTAGAGGACTTATGTACAATATACACCAGTAGTCACCAATACTGTATTGTACATTTACAATTGTGTTAGGAGGGTAATGAATATAAAAAGACACAGTGAGCACCCCCAAATACTCACTATTATTATTATGCACACTGTTATGTACATGTGGTTTGAGAAATTATCATATAAAGGCATGTATATAAATAAAATATAGAGAACTGAGATATGTATTCCAAAATGTCGTGCAAGAATTTTTTTGAAAATATTTTAAAAAATATGTTAGAATGTGTGTGTTTTACAGTTTATTTTAGTCGTTGTTTTTTAAATTTTATTATTAGTATTATCAGTTTATTAACTTAGGTTAAAGAAACTCATGACTGGATAGATTTTAGGAAGCCCATGACTCCTACATCATAAACTTTTTACCTCTATGTAGCTGTACATATTTCCCTCCTGAAAAAAAAGCTTCATGACTTTTTCCAGTTTCTTCACTTCTGAAATTTAGGAATCTCTTATCTATATATGTCTCCATTATTTCTTTTGACATAGGTTTCAAAGCAAGATACGTTTGTCTTACATAAATAAAATCATTTCATGGAGATTTTCAAGTGCTAAAATTCTATATTTCTTGCATTTAGATTCCACCTTTGGGTCATCATTGGTTATATAAAAAAAAAAAAAAAAATTAGGTGCCCAGCCAGTGTGGCTCAGTGGTTGAGCGTCGACCCATGCACCAAGAGGTCGCTGGTTCAATTCCCAGTCAGGGCACATGCCCAGGTTGTGGGCCAAATCTCTAGTGGGGGGCATGCAGGAGGCAGCCAATCGATGTTCTCTCTCTTCGATGTTTCTATCTCTCTCTCCCTCTCCTTTCCTCTCTCTAAAATCAATAAAGAAAAAAATTTAAATAACAATAAAAAAAGAAGTAGCTTGAGTCCTTGATGGTAGGGAGGAGGTAGCAAAGGGGACAAAAATTTGGGGAACTATTGCTGGATGGAAAAAACAAGCCAACCTATAACACATGAGCTTATCAAAGGTATGAAGTAATCTTGCACTCTCGTTCCATTTTAAAAAAAAAGGCACTGTAGCTGCTTTTTAAAGACATTTATGGTACATACATCCGCCCCCTGCTGACTTTGGCAGTTTCGCCCCCACACATCTCAATCTGTCTTTGTGCAAAATGTCTGTTCCTTTCTTTTCGAATAGGTCACTCCTGTTTACAAAAGATGCCCTTGCCTCTTATTTTTTTATTCTTTAAAAATGCAATGTCTAGGGTCTAATCTGCTTACTGGCCCATCTCTGGGGGCCCCGCGGGGGGCAGGTGAGGCCCAACAGTGGGATTTTGAAGCCTCACGGGCAAAAGAGCTGAGCAGCCCGGGGAAGGAAGAGTATGGATTTCATATTCGGAGAAAACAACATCAATATTAATGTTTCTTTTTGCTGGTAAAATGGAGGATATAAAGGTAGTGAAACTGTTTCTGCCAGTTTTATCTTCAAATGGGTAATTGGGAGGCTGGTAGGAATTTTCAAACATAATATAACAAAATCGAGAAACAAAAAAGTTCCTTTTCATCTGCACAGAGGCTCTGTTGAAGCTGAAATACTTGTGGGATATTAGGAATGAAAAATGTCAGCATGCGCTCTGCCCAGGCTTGCCTGGTTTATGGCTCCCACCTCGCGGCCATCGTTACTGCCCAGTAAAAGGACCTCTTTGTCCCTGGAGCATTGCCTTCCAGACAAGAAACGTCCCCACGCGTCCCCTCACTTTGGCATATGGGTCGTGGCATTCAGAGAATAATGCGAGGGACCGTCTGAGTGCCAGTTCCTTGAATCACTGGGACATGAAACTACTTAGGGAGGGTTCAGCTAAGCCTCGTTGCTCCTACGAATTTCCTTCCTGAATGAAAAGTCATTTTCTTAAGTGAAAAAGACCTGAGTTTTTCAGTGACTTGAAATGCGAGGCTTGTAAACAAATAAAAGGCCAGAAAAGGAGTGGAGGGTGGGAGGAAGGAGATACAGGAGATGGAGAGGGAAGAAGTCATTTAAAAGTCTTAACCTAAAGCCTGTATTAGTGACGTGTGTGTGTGTGTGTGTGTGTGTGTGTGTGTGTGCAAATCCACAAGAGGAGTGCCAACCCTCTAACTCAGATCCGAAACGATCCTGACCTTGCACTGAGCACGCTTCCTGATGCTTTGGTGGGTGGAGAAACATGGTTTGTGGAGAAAGACAAGGTAGACGTGGTGCTCTGCCCTCTGCCAGAAGTTGCAGGCACCACCAGCATCCAGTCTGTCCCGGGGAGGAAAGACGGATTTCTGGCACAGCTCTGGAATGTAGTGGTCGGTTTCTTAGAGGTCAGGGTGCGGTAACTGTGGCTCTTTCAAAGCCAATCATTTTTAAGCACAGCTTAGTTGCTCGTGGTTGTTAAAAGTGTGGCCCTTAAGGACAGTCACTTCTCTTTCTGGATGTCTGATGTAGCAAACACTGTGTGCTAGCGATTGCTTTAAAATACTTAATCCTCTCCCAAACCTGGGAAAGCGAGGTATTCTTGTAACCTCTGCTTAATAAGTTTGTGTGACTTGTCATTGGCAGAACAAGTATTATACTCCAATCTGGGCACTTTCTTCATAGCTTGTTCTAACAAATAAGCCCTAATAAAGCTTGCCATTTTTTCTACTTTAAACAACACTGTGTTTTTATGCATAGGATAAGAGTACAGATATTGAAATAACTTGTCACCTTTTTCATCTCCTGTCTTAAATTTGAAAAGCATTCCTTCCGTCCATCCATCCATGCATGCATTGACAAACTTTTGATTTATTCATTTATATGGCAAATGTCTTTTCATGAAGCAGGTGTGACTTACATGTCTTTCAAGTTCAGGTGTTGTAGACTTGGGAAGTGGAAGAAAGAATAAAGTTACATTTAAATAAGCATAGTATTAAATGGATTCTAACCTCCAAATGGAGGTGAGAACTAGATTGGTTGGTCTAAGAGGGTGTAAACATTCTGGGTTTAAATGAATAGGCCTCCTATCACTAATATTGATGAGTCTCCCAAGCAGTGGCTTTCATAGATCCACCGAGGGTGGGGAAAAGATTATTTTGGTTGGAGAAATGACACTATTCTTAGTTCCTTAGTCCCAAGGCAGGGAGAGAGTAATACCTTGCTCTCAAAAATATTCTTCTTTAAGGATGAAATACTGCCATTTGGGACAAGATAAATGGATTTTGAGAGTATCATGCTAAGGGAAATAAGTCACATGGAAAAGGACAAGAATCAGACAAGTTCATTCATCTGTGAGATAGAAAATAAAATCAACGAATGAACAAACAAACTCATAGCCACAGATAACAGTATGGTGGTTCCCAGAAGGAAGGGGGGTGGGGAAAAGATGAAGAGAATAAAGGGCATTAAATACATTGTGACAAAAGAAGACTAAATTTTGGGTGGTGAGTACACAATGCAATATACAGATGATGTATCATAGAATTGTACACTTTAAGACTTACATAATGTTATTAACCTAGGTCACCCCAATGAATTGAATTTCAAAAAAGAACTATTCTCCTCCATCCAAGCATTAAGCAGAATAAATGTGATGTCTGGGCTGGTTTGGTAAGACAGGAAGTTCTTCCATTCCTTGGAAGATGTAGACCCTTCTATGCAAAAGGAAAGGACACTGCATGGTCAATGTGCATAAATTTATATCTTGCTCACTGCTCAATTAATTAATGTCTCTGTGTCATTGCCTACTGACCTTTCAGGCTATTTCTTTCCAGATATTGTCTCACTTCTCCAGCTTCTCTCGGCCCTTTTCCTTCCAAATTCATGCAATCTTCTTAGGCAGGGCTTTCTTCTTTCTTGGCTCTGCATTTTTACCAATGACCCCTGGGCAGTATCTCTCCTGGCTCAGTCTGATCCATGA